CACACCCCGCAGGTCCCGATCCCCCGACCCTCCCGGGCCCAGCCGTTACCGTTCCAGGAGGCTCGGACGGGGCGGCCGGAGCTGCGCAGGCAGTGACTCAGGGCGGCGGCGGCGACGGCGGCGGGAGGAGCGGGAGGCGGCGCCGCGAGCAGATGGCGCTAAAAGAGACCCGAGAGCCCGCCGCTCGCGCTCATATACAATTAGCGTCAGCACGTAGGGCCGCTCCACCGCCCTCCTCCCCCCGCCCCCTGGCCTCGGCGTCGCCTAGCAACGGGAGCGGGAGGCGGGCCCGGGCCCTGTTGCCTAGAGACAGAGCCGTCCCTCTTCTCCCCGGGAGCCCTAGGCTTCCCGCCAGAGTGGGTCCTCTGCTCGCTGCGCACCCCCGCCGTCTCCTCTCCCCCTCCGCGGTGGGATGGAGATCCCAAACTCACTGCGACAACCCTGGTTCTCCTTGCCAGCTGGGTTAGGGACAGCAGCCTAGTAGCCGGCTTGCTACATCCCGACTCGGATTCCCATCCGCACCCAGGCCTAATTCCTGCAAGTCTCCCTCCCGCCCCTCTCCTCTGAAATCGTTTTCCCACCCCGGCGAAGAACCACAGCTCTTGCCTCGTGAACACCGTGAACACCGCAGCGGCACCTTCCGCAGGTTTTGCTTCTAAGTCAAAGGGGCCTCCCTGCCTTGTCGGGTGTTCTGCAACGATGTGCAAGCCTTTATTTCTGCTCTCGTTCATCTGGTGGTGGAAAAGGGCACATTTTGTGTATTCTTAAAATGCTTTATAGTGACAACAACCAGTGTATCAATCTTTCATCTTCCTGAAAAAGTAAATCGTATATAAAACCCTTAAGCTTGTGAAACCTTGCGTCTCTTTTTCAGCTGGCTACAGATCACCTGTTAACTCTTTGTGTTGTTTTGGTTTTAGGCAGGGCCGCACTGTGTAGTCCACTCTGGTATCAAAATTTAATTCTTCCACAGTGTGGGTATGTGCCACAACGCTGAGAATCTATCCACAAAACAAGTGTGGTCTGAATTTCCACACACCCTTTAAGGAGGACGATCCGATCTGTGTCTGTAATACTGAGGAACTGTCTACATTTTACATTCCCGTTCTCCCACACGCCTACACTGGAGTATTCCAGACTCTATACATCATACAGTAGAAAAACATTGGAAATACAAATAATCAGGCATGGAAGAAAAAAGTAATATTCTCAGCTGGGCAGTGGTGGTGCACGCCTTTAATCCCAACACTCGGGAGGCAGAGGGAGATAGGTCTCTGTGAGTTCAAGGCCAGCCTGGTCTACGAAGCGAGTTCAGTGAGTTCGAGGACAGACAGAGCTGTTACACAGAACCTGTCTCAAAAAAACAAAAAATAAAATAAATAAATAAAAATAATATGCTCATATAAAAGGCCATGCGTTATGATTCCTTGAATGAAGGAATGCAGGAATAAATAACTACTCTTCAAGATTTGTCAGTGTGGGGGCCTGTGGGTGTCGCTCATTTGGTAAGAGTGCCTACCTAAGATGCAAGAAGCCCTGGGTTCAATCCCCAGCAACACATACACCTTGTGTGGGATCATACTTCTGAAGCAGCAACACTCCAGAGCTGGAGGCAGAGGAACAAGTAGCATAGGCTCAGAGAGTCCCAGGCCAGTGTGGAATACCATCTCAAAAAAGAGAGAAAGAAAGAAGAAACTCACTGCTAATTTCCGACAAGATGACTATCAATATCTGGATGACACACAGCAGTTCTTTGGGTGAAAGTGGAATGTGGAGTCACACACCAGTTAAGCCAGCACTCGGGAGATAAAGACAGGATTTATGAATTCCAGCGCAATCTGGCTACATAGTGAGACCTCATCTGAAAGCTAAACAGCTTTTGGAATCTTAAGATTTTTAAATGTGAAAGGAAAGGTCCTGTGACCTTTCCTTTATAATGTATTTATGGTTTAAATGTATTATATTTTATATTATATTTGTAATATAATCCCAGAAATTTCAAAATGTCTATAGTCTCCTGTTAGAATCCTCATGTACAGCAGTGATCACTTCCATTTTAGGGGATGCCATTTTAAGAAATTACATGTACTTCTGTGTATGTGTGTGCTCGCAGATGCACATGTACCACTAAGTGGGTGTTCCGGTCAGAAGAGAGCACTGAAGGAGTCAGCGCTCTCCTACCATGTCCTACAGCATCTAACTTAGGTCACCAGGCTTGGCGTTAAGCACCTTTACGCACTGAGCCATCTCAGGAGCTTGAATTAAATATCACTTTTTTGCTTGTTTGCCTGTCGTTCACTGAAGCAGGGTCTCTCCATGTAACCCTGTCTGTAGGATAGTACTTGCTGTCTATGTTGACTAGACATCAGTCTGCCTTTGCTCCCAAGTGCTAGGATTAAAAGCATATGCTACCCACTAGAATTGACCCTGTTGGCTGGGTCGTGGGTAAGCTGACCCTGAAGACTTGGGAGTGGGAGAGCTGACCCCCATCTGCCATGTGGTGGTGTGGGCAAGGGAAAGATTTCCTGACCCACCTGCAGTAGGCAGGAGAGCTGGCCCTGGTCATGATTGTGAGAGAGCTGGCCTTGCCCCTCACCAGCTGCCACACGTGGGTGAATGGGCCCTGAACCTCACCTGGACAACCCAGTAGAGCTGGCCCTAGTGGTGTGGGTATGAGGAGCCAGCCTCCAAGGACTCAAGAGCAAGAGACATGGCCCTGCCTTCTGCTGCCTGTGGCATTGAGGGAGCTGCTCCGGGCAGTGCCGGAGAGCTCACCCGGGCAGTGAGGATGAGAGAGAGCTGGTGTGACAGGCTGACCAACCCAGCTACCACCCAGGTCCAGGCCCAGGGCTATGAGTTGACCCACCCCAATATCCACCCGATCTGTGAACTGCTAGAAAAGGTGGAAGGGCCGGTCCTGCAGATCTGAAGCTGCAGGGTCTCCGTGACACAGGGCAACAACAGGATGTCCAAGAGGAGTCTCAGTGAGGGCCAGGATGCTTAGTGTTGCACCAAGCCAGACTCCAAAACTGGTAGCTCAGAGTATAGCTGAAGGCTTCACTACACAGGCATGGTTGATTAACTCTTTAGTTCCAGGTTATTGGTTGTGTTGTTGGTTTTGGTTTTTCGAGACAGGCTTTCTCTATATAATGACTGTTCTGGAACTCACTCTGTAGACCAGGCTGGCCTTGAGCTCACAGAGATCTGCCTGACTCTGCCTCCTGAGATGCAGGCTACTCATTGACAGGGTAATGGGCATTTTATCAAGCTGTTGAAGTGAACTGAGGTCTGGTAATTTTTGTTAGTCATGAATATGTTATTTATTTATTTGTTTAAGACAGGGTCTCACTCGGTAGATTTGGCTGGCCTGGAACTTACTTTTGAGAACAGGCTGGCCTCAAACACATTGAGGTTCATCTGCCTTGGCTTTCTGAGTGCTGGGACTTAAGGTGTGCTCCACCATGCCCGGTATAGGATGGTATTTTTTGTTTTTGTTCTATTTTGTTAAGACATGGTCCATATGTATCTCCATCAGTCTTGGAACTCTCTGCATAGATCAGGCTGGCCTTGAACTCACAGAGTTCTGCCTGTGAGACAGTATTTTTAGAGAAATCTCTCTCTCGTTGTTTAAAGATATTTCCCTGTAACAAGGCTTTCTCTGTTCCACCAGCCAGCTCCCAATCAATGACATGAAGATTTCTTATTAATTATGAAATCTCAGTCTATAGCTTAGACATGTTCCTAACTAGCTCTTATAACTTAAACCAACCCATTTATATTAACCTATGTTTTATTATGTGGTATTACTTCTCTTGCGTCTTGCAATTCCTGTTTTCTCTCCGTCTCTCTTGGCTTCTCCTGCTCCTCAATTCTTGGTGCTCTTCCTTTCTCTCCCCAGAAATCCTGCTTATACCTCCTGCCTAGCTGTTAGCCATTGAGCTCTATATTAAACCAATTGCAGCACTGTATCTTCGCACAGTGTGCAAACATCCCACAACATTTCGCCCATATAAAATACAGGTCAGTGGGAAACTTTTCTTTTTGACGCTTTCCTGCACCTGTAATTCTCCCACACCCCTTAGAGTTAGAGAACACACAAGGCATACTGCATACATTGATACCAGGGGAAGACAGGTCACGGATGAAGGACACAGACCTATTGCCTCTTGTCCCCAAGAGGCTCTCTATTTCTATTTCCATTAGGCCCCAAAGAGGGGGTAATAGGAACCCTGAGCCCCTGATGGTGGGTGAAAATTACAGCCATCACTTTATAAGTTGTGATTGGTACTTTCCATTGATGATAGTATTGTGGGGCTTCAACCTGAGGGGTGTGACTCTGACCCCAGGAAGATATCATTAGAATAAAATGCAATTATAGGACAATGGGTAGGTAAATGGAGAAACTCTTGGTCTATAGGGAAAATTCGCATATGCCCGGTGTCAAGTGTAGAATATTGAAGGTGACAGCCAGAAACCCTTTGATTTCATGCCTCTCCCAGGCCTCAAGTTGGCAGTGAGTCCCTTCAAAAAGTTCGTTCTTAGAATAATTTATCTAAACGTAGCATGATGTCAGTTTCTATTCGTTCATAACATTACACATACATATAAGGTCATCCTCTTAACTCAATCATTCAGTTGACAAAATCTTGCTGAGCATTTGCTATGTTTAAACACTGGGGTTTGTAACGTTGGAAACACAATGGAAGAATATTGTTGAAGACAAAACCCAAAGTGAAGCAAAAGGAAGTATGTACTATTAAAGGGTATAACATTCTATGAAAGCAAAATAACCTAATGCGCCAATCCCTCATCTATAAAATGAAAATGTCAGTTTATCTCCTATAGAATTGAGAAAATCATTAATGAGATGATAAGCTTAAAATCAGAAGAAAGATGGAACTACTTATGACCACAGTTCTATCAGCCTGGAAGGAGAGCCTAGAATTCGACCCAATTCGTTCTCCTCTCCCTCCTGGGAGCATAGCCACCTTCTGAAACCATGTTTCTCAACCCTCCATCCAATGGCACGTGTGTTGCTAAGTTCTTGCCACACAGTGTGAGCAGCAAGGACAAACACCATCTGCAGGCTTCAGTTTGAAGGCATTCCCAGCGCCCTCTTCGTGTTCTCACTGTCCCTGCTGATGCTGTGTGGATGTTT